TTTGGAAAAATAAAATTGGGGATATGGGGATCTAGGGTTTAAGCAAATTAATTGCTCTTTTTTTCCTTTTTCTTTTTTTTTTGTTTAATCATTCCAATTTCATTGATCGTTTCATCCACCTAGACCCACTTTAAAAATCCATTTTGGTAATAATACCCAAAGAAAAAAAACTCCCCGACGTCGGTGTAAGGTTTTTCCGGCCGGTGGCGGTGACATCAGGTGGAAGTTGTAAGTTGTAACTACCGACTTCGTTTTCTTTGAAATAAATTAAAAAAAAAAAAGGAGAGAAAGAAAAGAAAAATGCATGACCATTCTGCTGGTCTACGACTCTAGAACAGGCATTCATCCTCCTCCTCCATCTACTTTCTCTCTCTTCAAAGGAGGGAGAGGAAGCAGAAATTCCCCACCGGCGGTGAAGACCCACCATGCAATTGAAACCCATAAACACCTTCACCGTCACGCTCATGTTGTTCTTTATCTTTTTGGTCCTCTCCCTCTCTGGCATCCTCCAGTTCCCTTCTCTTTCTACCTCAATTCAACAATTTAACAACCCAGGTCCGTCAAAGATCGAATCCACACCACACCCCTTTACTGACTTGTTGGGTGCGTTCAGGAAATGGGATTCGCAAGTGGGTTGTGTCCGGTTCAGGGAGAGGTATAGGGATTTGATCCAAGCTGGGGGTAATGGGTCTGCGTCTTTGCAGGAAATTGGGGGTGATTCGGAGTGCGGTGGGTTGAAAATGAATCATGTTAGTGTTTTGGTGAAGGGGTGGACTTGGATTCCGGATAATTTGGATAATTTGTACTCTTGTCGATGCGGGTTGAGCTGTTTGTGGACCAAATCTTCGGTTCTTGCTGATAAACCTGATGCACTGTTGTTTGAGACGACAACGCCTCCGTTGCAGGTAATTATGCTCTTGCTTTTCCCATTTCTGTTTCGTTTTTGTTGGTGAGACTATAGAGTGCGCTGTGTAGATGGATCTTGGAGAAATGCTTATCCAGTTTGCATCTGTTATACTTTGCAAATTATATGGGTAATGGTTCAGTGATGATTTGGCAATAGACACAGTTTATTCCATTTATTGTAAGGTGGTTGGATCATGAGATTCTGTTTAAATAGGAATAGTTGAACTCGGATATGGCAATCTGGCACAGATTTAGCTCAAATGCTACCTTTGTTCTTTTTGTTGTGATCTGATTCTTAGAGAATATTGTTTATGAATGGAGATCTTAAAGAAATGTTCTAAACCCATATCTAATCTTTCTCGCTTGATTTTCTTGAGTTTGATACCTGTTGGATAACTATATGGACAGCATGTGAGTCTACTTTGTTAAATTTGGTTTATCATAGTGAGCAACTTGTTTTACTGGTTGAGAATTGTTGATAGGCTGTGTGTGGTTTAGCAACTGATAAAGTTGCACATAGGTTGCAGTATGTTGTAGTCTGAGAGACCTTTGTGAATTGCTTGGAACAGTTTTTCTATGTTTTGGTCTTTTTTTATATCTGATGTTTTTAGCTCATCGGTTGGGAGGCAAGAAATTTGGTAGTTGGGAACAGTGCAATCAGATCTGAAGTCTTTTCGAGTGTCTTGTACTCCTCTCCTCTTCTGAAAAAACAGAATGATATTGGTAAAAGTTTTTCTATGGAACCATATTATCATACTGTACAAAAACATTAAACAAACTGGCATTCAAAATTAAAATTAATGGCCATTATGGATTATGGATGTACAAAAAACATAGCTTTTTCATTTCAATGATTGTTTTTTTCATGCAATGAATGTATGCTTCCTTGTTTTCCTTTTTTTTTTTCCAAAAAAATAAAAAATAAAAAAATAAAAATAAATAAATAAATAAAAAAGATGAACCCGTTGAGGGTCATTACATACTGAAAACTAAGGTATAACTTGGTCTTGATAATTCAAGATATTTTTTACTTGTATTAGATACATTTTTTATTTTTTCTTTACATGAAGTCTTGTACTTAATATCTTGTATTATTTTATCAGAAAATGGCTCATATAATGTTATTTCTTATTTCTGTTCATTGGTCAAAATATATACATATATATATATTTGTGTTATTTTGCTGGGTATGTTTTAATGTGTTGTTTTCCTTGTGTTGACAGAGACATAGTGGAAATCCACTCCGCATATACATGGACCTAGAGGCTGGCAGGAAGCGGTCTGGTCAGGAGGATATATTTATCAGCTATCATGCTGAAGATGATGTTCAGTCAACCTATGCTGGTGCCCTCTTTCACAATGGTCGAAATTATCATGTGTCTTCTTATAAGAAAAATGTAAGTGGCCAGTACATATTTTTATTCTTCAGTTTGATATTCTCAAATAATTTCCTTCCATCATTTTCATGGCATGGACAATCAATTGTTATAATCACATGTGGGTTCTTTTTCTTCTGTAAACCTATATATAGGATACACTTGTTTATTGGTCCTCATCACGATGCCTTCCCCAAAGAAACCGGCTTGCTAAGAGTCTCCTTCAGCTGTTGCCTCACCATTCATTTGGGAAGTGCCTGAACAATGTTGGTGGCCGGAACATGGCTCTTACTCTATACCCTGAGTGTGCCAATGATGCCAGTGTTACCCCTAAATGGTGGGACCATTTACATTGTGCCATGTCCCATTACAAGTTTGTCCTTGCTATCGAAAACACAGTGACAGAAAGTTATGTGACAGAGAAGCTATTTTATGCTCTTGACTCTGGTGCAGTTCCTATCTATTTTGGTGCTCCCAATGTGATGGACTTTGTTCCTCCACATTCAATCATAGATGGAAACAAATTTAGCTCGATGGACGAATTGGCTTCCTATGTTAAGGAACTTGCAAACAACCCTGTAGCTTATGCTGAGTATCATGCCTGGAGGAGATGTGGCGTATTGGGTAACTATGTAAAATCTCGTGCAGCAAGCCTTGACACATTGCCATGCCGGTTGTGTGAGGCAGTTAGTAGAAGAGGTGGAAGAAATGCAGGAGCCTAGTTAATTTTTTCGGTTTTGTACTGCTAATTTTTGATCCCCTTTGTTATTGATTATTCCTGAATCTCATGTTTTATATAGGTTTTTAGTTGTAAACTAGCTAGAACCACGTGTACAAGAAAAAGGAATACAAACATATTAAATTGATCTTGTGCTCTTTTTTTTTTTGTTTTTTTAAAATAAGTTATCAAGGAACGGGCTTCCATAAGAGCGAGGGGAATGCACCTCAACCTGGTTAGGTGCCAGTTGATTCAAAGGATCAGGTGCTTGTGCTGTCTTCTCTATTTGGTGAAATTCTGAAATGATTATTGAACCCAAAACTGAACTTGTAATGCAAGTCCTTGAAAATGTTGAGCTTCAGCGAAATGATTTTCAGATTCCATAAATCGTCTCTCAAAAATTTTTTTTTTTTTAATTTTTTCATTTTAGTATTTAGTTGCCTTCAACTAAAAGAAAATGTTGACAAGGCATGTGAATGTAATAAGTCCTATATTTGTATACGATGAGAATTAGTAAAATACATACATGTGAAGACCCGCAAATTTAATAAACTTGTATTTTTAGTTCAAGATGATTTTTGCAAAAGCACAATTTATGGCAGAAAATGGATTGGTGTAGTTCTTTGATTCACATGAGCAAACTTAACAAGCACTTCTACACTGTTAAACATTTGGCATGAGATTTTGGTAGGGCATCTGATTAATCCTCCTTATGGAACTTCCAAACAGCAGCCATGATTCCTGTATAAGCAGGATTTCTAGACTTGAGAACCTTCTGAACCTGCTTTACCATCATCAGAAATCTGTTAAAAAGCCTTAACATTAAGCCCCAATTCCAGTTTAAACAAAACTCTTCAAGAATCAAAGTAGAAAATTCAACTTAATTTTATCTTACTTTTGGTCTTGGCTTGCTCTTCTGGATCTTCACACTCTTGAACTTTTCAGGCCTATTCTCAAGGTATTCCTTCAACTGCTCATCATCCATGGCATCAACTGTCTCAGTCTGTCCAATTACATAGGATCCATAAAGGCTTAAAACTCAAAGAAACAAAAACATACCCATTTTTTCCCCTCAAAAAAGGAAAAAGAAAAAAACATACCCATTTCTTCAATTCTTCTATTTCTTTGGCCAAAGCCTCTTCTTCTTTGCATTGATCTGCAGTTTCTTTCTTCTCCTGCAATGAAAGATGCTTCGAATCTGTTGCATTCTTCTTGTTCTTGGGTCCTGCTTTTGCAGTAGACATGTTAGATTGTAACAAAATCACAGAAACGAGAGAACAACAATTGCAAACCTAAGCAATTGAAGGAGGAATGGAGATGATCAGAATAGGTTTGAAATGAATGCTAAGAGGATATATAAGTAGAGAGTCAAATGTAACTGTCAATTTGTTTCTTTTTTTTTATTTTATTAATTTATCGATATTTAAAAGTCACATTAAATCATGATTAATCTGTAAATGTGAAAGTTCTCTCAACGTATATTTCTCTATTTATGAGACACGAACTCAAGATTTTGTTTAAAAGAAACTCATTTCCTTCCCCTCGAGCCAATAAATCATTGGTAACC